CGGTTGTTCTGTGCCACCATTTTTCAGGGAGTAGCTTGATGGCACTCAGTCTACTTCTCCCAGTCCCACAGTATCGTTGTGATCAGACTAGCAGGAAGATCCTAGGCCTAGGACATTGATGCCCCTGATCTGCAGAGAGCTTGTACTGCTCCAAGCTGAGCCTTCCCACGCTACTTCTGTGCCAGGAGTCTCAGATGGGGATATACCAAGGTTATATCAGAACTCAGGGTAGAAATATCAGGTTCAGCGGTCTCCCTATTGAATGTTGCTATAGAAAACACTGCTAAACTGCTCAAGTATTTGGCACGTAAGAGTCATCCTCCCTACTCCCCCCTGGCCCGCCTTCCTTGATCCACAAGTGCAAGGTTCAAGAAAACTGGATTTGATGATGCAGAAAGGGTCATGCTTTAAAGCAAGTGTGCTAGATGAATGTCCTCTCTGCCAAAAATTGTCCTTCTCACCTCCTGCCCCACCACATTCAGAAAAACTGCTAGTGGTAAATTCAGTGGATTTGACTCTTGGCTGTAGATGGTTCTGATTCACTTGCTTTCTCACCATCTGACAAATGCAAATTGATCTGAAATGATATGCTTCATGTGGTACGGCCATCAGAGTTCATAAGGCGTTTAAGGAACTCAATAAATTAGACTCAGCTGTCTCACATCACTTTAACACAGGCATTCAAACTATCATACCTTTTTACAGAAGTTTGTGGGCACCCTCACTCTAGTGCAGATATTTTTCTTATAGTCAAGGATAAAAGCTGATTAATCTCTGTTCTTCTAATGATTTTTCTTTGAACCTCACCAAAGCCAGTATGTCTGCAGAAGTCCCCTAACAATAATCAGCAGAACAGAAATTGTTTTCAAAGCTCTGTGGAGCTTCTTTCACGGAGTAATGTATTGAGAAACACTTCAAGCTGCCAGAAGAAGTCGTAGAGAGAAAAAATGCACGATCACAAAAGACCTAGACACTGGGAAGGATGAAAGCATGTTCTGTATGGTAACTGCATTAATTAATTAATGCAAATTAATCTGAACATAACATTAATATCTGGTCTTACTGTGCAGAGATTGTCTGATAATCACAATCTCTAAAAATATGTGGATCTCTGAAGTCTTTAGTGAAGAACAGAATTAATTAGTATTTTTAATTCACCTGGACAGCTTAGTGGCATTTTTTTTCTACTTGAATGATTTGAGAGTCACTTCCCTCTGCCTCCTTTCCAGTTATTGCAAGAGTTTGGAAAATAATTGTTATCCGTCACTTATTCTTGTTTGATTGGTTACAGTATGTGATTGATCAGTCAAATATACTGGATTTTTGCTGCTTCTTGCCAAGATGTCAAAACCAGCAGAATATGAATAGTGAATACCAGGTATTTTTGTTCACGCATAAATTTCCTCGTTCATGTGTGAATGTGATTGTTTGCATAAAGAAGAAATATATTTACCCTTCTCAAAGCTTGCTTTCAAGGCTTCCAACTCTATCTTTGATCTCTTGTGTTTTGTGCTTCCTTCTTCCACTCCAATAAGGCTGACCTTTGTAGAAAGAAGTTCTAAGTCATTCTCTTTCTCCCTTGAGCTGCTGGCCTTTTCATCCTTGAGAACTGCCCCAGATGCAATACATTTGTATATGGAAAGAATTGTGCAACAATTTTTAACTCCTGATAAGGCCATCAAACCCACAATGGCTGGAGGGGTAGGAATCAGATGGAAAACAATACTCTGGCTCTTCAGTTTTAGGAAGAAGTGATGGTCATCAGTCTTATCTCATAAAATGGTTGCAGGACAGAAACACAGTAGACACCCTGACAAGAGTGCGATGGACGAGAATTAAGCATTATTTCATGCTGGGGAAAAGCTTCAGATTCAGTCTTCAAGCTATACAGCTATTGTCACTGTACAAAATTAAACAAGGAATATGTTAGGAGAGATTCTAAATAGAAAGGTAACCTTTTTTTTTTTCATTTGTTCGTTCAAAGGATAAAAGGAAATTTTAGAACAAAGTTAAGTTGTTGCCCATGTGCTTTACTTAACCATACATAAAATCCAAAGATTTTTCTGCATAGTTTTCACAAAAAGTTATTGGCTGGCCTTGATTCCCTTGACACTGTCTTGCAGTTTAATAGTCTCTCAGTAAATATGATATGAGATTTGACTTGAACTTAAAAGTACCAAAAAGGGATGAGTTTATTTTGGGCTGGAAGGTGTTCATGTAAGCTGCAATATCCTTCAAATATCTCTTAGCAATTCACTTGTAATGCTTGACTCAATCTCACACCTTAATTCTTCAGAGTGAGTTGCCCAGATGGAAAGGCAAAGTTATTCATAGACTGTGGCAGGGGTTCCTCCCTGCTTATGATTTGTGGCTCCCACGCAAGAAAAGTAGGAAGCAAAGTTTCACACCTCTCTCGGGTCAGCTCCCCTTGATGCCGCTCCAACTCTCTTTCGTCAATATGGTAGCTCAGCTTAGGACCACCGATGCCTCCTCTCCTTTCCTCACATCTCTATCATGTGCCTCTCCACGGGGTCCTATGGCCACCAAGAGGTTGCAGCCACTTCCTACCTTACCCTTGCTGTTGCTGGTTCTGCTGCTGGTGGTAGAAGCATTAATGTTGATGTGAAGGTAGCAATTTTAGCAGGATCTAACTATTTCCATTAAGAATCTCTTGGTTATCTTCTTATTGAGTTCAGCACAGCCACACTTCTAATGGCACAGGTACAGAGACTCCCAGTCATGCTTAAACAGGGGCACCAGGGCTTATTTTATTGTATCTGAAGTATGCCAAAGCTGTAAGACATTCATGGCTCCCCAGGGAGACTCGCCTCATTAGTTTAGACGAAGTTATGAAGCTTTTTAACAGCTTTGTTGGAGGAAGCATCTTTAAATTTCAGCATCCTTCTACTGTCCCCGGATCTGTCAAAGATTGTCCCCATGCTATAACTTTATGCTATGAGAGAAAATATTGAGATTCATCAGCCAGAACTGAAAGGTAACTTTCACATTCTGCATACGACGAGATGATTGTGACACCTATGGCAGCATAAATATTTCCCTCCAGGCAGTGGAAAATGTTACTCTTGAGATACTATCTTTTTGCAGAGACCAGGAAGTTATAAAGTCTTGAGTAACAAATCAAATATATTTTCATTTCAGACCATAGGACTGTGGTTGTTTTACTGTTCATTTGCAGAGAGAGAGAGAGAGAGACCTATATAGCCACTCCCCTTCAGAAATAGAGACTATAAATTCAGATGGCCCTTTCTGTCAAGAGCTCTTGATGAGATGGGTACCAATATGATCTTGATATGGCTACTGTTGTTAGGTCCAGCAATTCTGGAGGCAAGAAGAGGTAAATCACTTCATTTGTTCCAGGGCATATAAGAATATAAAGACAGTTTGGGGTGCTCTCTGTTGATTCCATGAACAGAAATCACATTCATGCTGATATCATTTTAGGCAAACGATTAAAGGTGAAACTGGATGAAATGAGATAGCACAGCTTTGTTCTACTAAAACGGGGGGCTAATAGACATAGTGAGTGATAAGAATGGTTTAAACCATTTAATGAAGTTCATTTTGCTTCCATAGGGTGGTATTTTGTGTTAGTGCCTTGTATCATGGCTAAAATTGTTTCTGTGAATATGTTATGAATGAATGATTCTTCTATTTTGAGAAATTTGTTCTAAGAATTATGGAAGAATTGATATTTTTTACTAAAATGTATATTTAGAGTATACAAACACATACTCATACTGCATATATAATATTGCTTTAATTGTTTGAACTCCCTTGTATACCTGATATTACGCACACTGTAATGAAATATAGTAAGTCGGTTTTCATAATTTATCGATGTGGATAAAGGTGGGACATCTAAAAATAATGAAAGACATGAGACGTTGTTACTTCAACTTTCCTTTTGTCATTACCTTTTTCCGTACGTGATTAGTTTCTCTCTCCTAAGTGATTTCAGTGACTTTGCACTAAACAGTTCCATGTATATCCTAGAATAATTGTAGATGATATTTCTAAGTAGCTATTCAAGTATCATTATAATATCTTATATTGCCATCATTCACCTCATCCAATTTTATCCATCTACCTTCTCCCTGCCTGGTGATAACACCCTTCCTCTGGGTTGGCGTCCTTACTGCTATGCTTCAGTAGTGAATTGCAATTTATCTGCTTGGTAATTTTTGAATGGCAGAGCTGCAGCAGCCCCGTGAGCATAGGTTTAGGAAAAAGCCACTGTCTTAGCTGTCCAGGCTGCATCTTGCTGTGTCCACAAAGCTTCAGGGATCTGTTTGAGCCTCCACTTCACTTTCCTGCCTGCAGTACCTTTTGTAGGCACCTGTTGCACTGCTGCAGAGGTCAGCAGAGGCTTTGTGCATCATATAGAAGTGCTAAACATACATATTTCTGGTAAGACAAGGTTGGGGAGCAGAAAAGCTGTGTTGTACTTCCTAAATTCCAGTAGGATTCAGTGCAAATTGCTACACCTCTTTGTTCTTTAGCATCAAGCATTTTGATAGCAATGAATAAAGAAATAAATAAACATAAAGTATATTACTAAAACATGCAATATTCTTCCTGTCAACAATGTGAACAATTTTTAGCTCTCATCTCCTAATACAGTTCTACTTAGATTTCATTCAGATATTGAAATTGATTTTCTCTCCTTTGCTTTCCAATGGCTTCTCCTATTATCAAAGATTTTCCTTTCTTGGTGAAATAGTCTGTGCTTAGCTTACTGCCTAAATTTTCTGTAGCAATCTTGCATAAATTATGTACAGTTAATGTTGAGATCTGGGAGGGAAGAAGAAAAATGTGTGGTCTCTCTCTGTACTATCTCTTCCTTACAGGCATTTAAAACTAGGCTAGACAAGCACCTCCTGGGAAGATGGTGCAGCAAGCTGGAATAGATGACTTCTCAGGATCATTTCCAGCTTATTTTTCTGACTCTGTGTTTGTGCTCAATTTCCTGTCTCCCAAAGGGACCAGTCTCAGACTAGTGAATGGAAGGCACAGCTGTGAAGGCCGAATTGAGATTTATTACAAGGGACACTGGGGGACAGTTTGTGATGATATCTGGGACCTTCCTCATGCCCAGGTTGTGTGCAGGCAGCTGGGATGTGGCCAGGCCATTTCAGCACTAGGAAGTGCTTACTTTGGCCAAGGCTCAGGAAAAATTCTCCTGGACGATGTGCAGTGCAGAGGATATGAATCCTCCCTGTGGCTTTGTAATCACCGTGGATGGAAGAAACACAACTGTGGCCACCAGGAAGATGCTGGTGTTGTCTGTTCAGGTGTTGTCAGATTTTTATCTTCTAAATACTTTTCCTATGAATTGCAGCAAGTATACACATATCAGGTTCTGGGTATGCAGAAATTGTCCTTCTCAGATAGTATTTCATTCACTCAAGCTGTATGTCATAAAGTCAAACATGCTATATGTCTAATTGCATACATTTTTGTGCTAGTGCTTGCTGTTTCTATTTTACTTTATTATTATGTTTTATATGAAGAATTTTCTATCTGTGGAAAGGCACATTCTCTCTAAACAGGCCTGTTCTCAGAAAGCAGAATTAGATCTTCTCACGGCACTGTCTTTTCATTCCACTGACTTGGCAGAGACCTCATGGACTCACTTTTTTCTCACTAGGGTAGCATACCAGTTCTGATTGCTCACACTGTGCAAAGCAATTAAAGAAATAAGGATCACAGAGGTGTCACAGGATTCAGAACTTTAAGGAAATAAGGCTAAATTACAGCAGCAAAGCTATGTCTGCTTGGCCGGTGTTTGGCAGGGAGGAGTGGGAATAGGTGAAACTCATCTTCATATTGTAAGCCTGAACATATTCAGTATGGACAATAATAATTTCGCCGTTACAACCCAAACTGCCATAGCTAACAATTCATCTTGCATTGTTTCTGTACTTTTCAGGTTTTTCTTAAAGTTTAGCCCCACTGATTTTCTGTTGCTATGCAAATTTCAACCTATTTTGAGCATGCTGTCACCATGCTATTTTCTAATTTTACTTTGCCCTTATTTTTTAAGAAAAGGTACTTCACTTGTATTTTCATTTTATGTTCTCCTCTATTAATAACAGATCATTATGGAAGTGAGGCATGGACACATACAACAGGTAATTCAGGTGTTTTATGTATCTATAGTAGATTAGATATTGTGGTTTTCCAAATTTTGTGAAAGAGTAAGAGTGTAGAGAGCCAAACTCAAGCAACACTTGGCCTTTAAAAAAAGAAAACAAGGCTTGCTGTCATATCTCTATTACCTTACATGCTTGCTGGGTTCAGTGTCTTTTTTGATTGACATTTATTTCTTATTTATGTTCATAGCTCCATTGACTACTACAGGATGGCCATATTCAACAGGTAATTCATGCTCACCTGATTCACTCTTGGTGCTACACCAAGTACCACTCCAAGAGCATCAAAAGGGCTGCTCTGGGGAAGAGCTGAGTGCATCTTGGATGGTGCTGGGTATGAGCCCTGCTCCTGCCAGAGACCCCACACTGGCGAGGCCATGACCTGGCCTGTCTCTATATCTCCAGTAGAGGCAACTATACCAGAGACGACCCCAGGGGAGACAACCAAAATGGAAACATTCACACCAGTGATCTCCACAGCAGGTAGGTCTGCCTAACGTCACTCACAGCCCCCTTCATGCAGCCTGGACTCCTCCCTTGCACACTGGGTTGAGCTGGAGGGAGTCTCCCAACACTCAATGATTCCCATGATGCCCCTCATCCAAGTCCTCAGCGACAACAAGTCGCAATGGACCACTGCTGCCCAAAAGGGGCTGTGAGGCCATCAAAATTCCCCACAACCAGCCGCCACACAGCAGGGCAACAGCGGCCCGCACTGGCCAGGTGGGACTAGATCATCTCCAGAGGTACCTTCCAACCTCAACCATTCTGGCAAGAACCTTTCTTGCTTTTTCTTCCTTGCAGCCAGTAGTTCATCCTCTCCGCCACCATGGCCACACTCAACAGGTAAGTGGTGCCTGTCTGAGGGGTTAGAGGATTGCAGGAAGCCCCAGCGCGACAGCAGGGGAGAGCGGCAGAGAGCAAAGGGAGAGGTGCCAGCCGGCACCCGACCCCTGCAGGGCTCGTGCTCCCCCTGCCCGTTGCGGAGGCTGCGGGGCTCTTGGGGCTGCTGCGGGGCAGAGCCGCGCAGCAGGAGAGGGCACTGGGGATGGTGCCGGGTCCGAGCCCTGCTCCTGGCAGAGACCTCGCGGCTCCCGGGACTAGGGCCGGGGCTCCCAGAGGGAAGGCTCTGGCCTGCCC